CGTTCTGATGAACAAGCCAATGGATACCTCAAGGATATTATTCAAAGTTGCTAAGTAAATGCTCAAGAAATGAAAGCTTGAACAAACATTCCCCTTTCGCATAGTCATGGGAGGGAGGTCACTATGGCCAAATGTGTTTAGGGATCAGAATGACTAGTGCTGAAACTGAGAGGAAACATAAACAGAAGGTGAAATTCTTCTGACAGCTACAGGCAGCAGACTGAAATGGAGAGACCTTCTGTGAGCAAACACTGGGTCCATGTTACACTAAGGGGTGTGTATGTAGCCCCAATCCACACATAAAATGAATTCTGGAGAATTTATGCACTAACTTTTAAAGCAACAGTGTGTCACCAGAGGCAGAGCAGCTGCTGGTCCCTCTGGCAAAGAACACTTCTGAATTAAACCTGTCTGAAGGACTAAACATACAAGAAATGAGCTTCAAACAGTCGTGTGCTTCAAAGTCATAGCCACATTACCAACTTGGATAGCAACCCTCCGCCATCTCATCTTGAATCTTATCTCATAGCATCAGCACTATACCTGTTACATAATATCCTTTAAACCTTCAGATCTTTCCGTATTAATCTCTGGAAGGGGCAGTAAAATGCAAATGCATAACAAACCTTAAATAAAGATGGTAAAAGCAGTTTATCTTTTGGAAGGCAGATGCCAAAGTAGCAGAGCGACTTAAAAAGATGATTATAGAATACATTGTATATCAGGAGAGCATAACAATAATAATAATAGCAAAGAATAATAAATGTGCAAAATACAATAGAGACTTACCAAACACTGAATTCATGATAAACTGGAAATAGAAACAAGGACATATAAAGCCAACCAGAAACATGCGGAGTGGCTTCACATTCAGAATGACAGAAGTAAATAAGAGATATATCCCCACTGTGCCAGAAAAAAAGGTATAAGAAATGTGCAGCACTTTCTTAACATTTCTCAAGTGACACAACAGACTGGAACTGCTTACTGGCAGGACCCACTGGTATTTTTCTAGTCTTCCTCTCTGTCCCAGCACAAAGCACAGGGCCAGGACCACAGTAGGCACACAGGAAACATGTGTTAGGGAATGTCTGTTAGTATCCATCCCAAAGTGAGGAAAGAACAATGTCCAAAATTACAGGCAGCAGGAGGGGTTCAGAGATAGGCAGCCTCCCCATGAGGCTGCTAATGGTACAAAAACTGGGAAACAAGAACCCTGAAACAGAAGCTGATCCTCACAGAGGCCAGCAGGGTACTGATTCCAGGCTGGACATTTAACCTATCACATGGATAAACCTCGATGAGAAACACTTATAAGGGTGAAACCAAAAGATTTTTAATTATATTCTACTTCAAGTGGAAAAGAGTCCATATTCAAATGAACAAAACCCTCTTTGCTCATTTTCAGGGATATATTTATTTTATTTGCTGTTAACTGTTAAAGCATCCATTCTGTTCAGTTCTGGTTTAAAACTCAAGGTGTGAATGTCTTTAAAAAATAAACTACCATGCAGTAATGTTAAAATTTAGGAGGGCCCACCACTTTCCTATATGGGTTCTATGATGGAAGAAGCAAAAGAATAAATCATTCTCAGAAGGAAATAGACAATCTTTTTCTTTCTGGTTCATGAGAATGACGTTTTGCTCCAAGAAAAGTTTTTAGAATTTCTGACTGTAATTTGCTAATATTACAAATATTAAAAATTTGCTAATATTACATGGAGGATATACACCATCCATGTTTCAAGTTTACATAAAAAATGACCTCTCAGGCCTTGGGGAAGGTTTATTTTAACCAGGAAGCTCCCTCACTGTGACTCAGGTAAAGCCCAGAGAAGTGGCCAAGGGTGAGAGCAGGTACAACTGTCCTTAATAATGCTAATGCCTGGAATATATAGCTGATGGTTGCCAGGACAACAGGATGATCTGCTTGCTCACTTGCTTGCTCTCTCTCTCTCAATTTCAGTCACATCTTTTACTTAAATAAAAAGCCCGGGGAGTCATTCCAGTACCTCCCTAAATCAACTCTGTAGAACTTTGCAAAGGTTAAAGCTGAAAACTGAAACTAATCAGTCCCCAAACTCATGTTTCCATGTTCCTGGCCTTTTCTCAAGGCTATGAATAGCTCCCATCAAATGTAGAGTATCTTTTGACCTTCTGCATGTGCCTTGGTGGGGAGGGCAGTGAGCTCATCCCACACCGTGAGGTACTACAACCCATTTGCCCCTGCTGCAAAGTGAGGCACGTCCCCAATGCAAAAACTTCTGGACACAATATTTCTTCAGCTCAGTCTGTCTCAAGTTCGGGACTCAATAAAATGGTTCAATTTCAGACTTTCCATAGAAATAGACTTCAATCTTTATTAAACCATTGCTAAGCCTGTATCAAATGATATAGCCCATATAAAGTAAACAATCATCTCACATTTGATAAAGATGAACAAAAAGAATCTGTGTTAATTCTGTCAAATTCACACAGGGTCCAAGGCTGAACCACAAGGTGGACTCATATACTATAAGAAAAGCTCCAAGTTAGTGAGTCTAAGTATTCTATTACTACACTCTGAAGGCAACTTCCTTCCATAACAACAGCAAAGGACAAAAACATCCAAGAGATTTCTAGGGACAAAGCTTGATGGAAACAAAGGGAAGGAGGAGACTTTGGTTATTTACGATAACTCATAAAACTTGAAAAAATTAGCCGGACGGAAGTGTTCACAAGTAACTAGAATCATCCCACAGATTTAGCCTCTGATCCTTGTTTTAAGGGGAAAAAAAGTGGTTTTTCATTAATTTGGGGTGGGAAAAAATGTAGCTTTTGAGCTCAGCACAATGAACTATTTATCTGGCCTGACAAGGCCAATCAATCCAGCTCCCTGTTTATTATAAGGAGTAGTAGGATACTGTTAGCCTTGATGAGTGGGGGCAGGGCCAAAGACAGCCCTGATCCTGGTACACAATTCTTCCCTTCAACTGGAAATTTATGTTTGGTCCAGGTGACCTGGGGGTCAGTATGAAGCCTGGGATAGAATGAAGATGGTTTCTTATGTGTTTCATATTTACAGGACACCCCCAAGTGCTAAGGTCTCAGAGTCAATGACAGATTCATTATATAGAATACCTAGGAGTAATAAAAAGTTGGTCATAATCAGGTGAAGGCTTAAAAAGGGAATATTCAAGTCAGTAAGCCAGTTCTTTAAATGCCCTTTTCTGGTTAATGAAAAATTCTGTAGGGGACTTCAAAGGTCATATTTTTGTTGTAAAGAGACAATTTTATCTGAAAAGTTTGACTCTTTCATTGATTTAAAAGTTCTCAGGTCATTTTATCAAATTCATCTGGATAATTACCTTAATTCTATAATTAATTCCTTATCTTGTTAAATTAATGAATTACCTGAATTATCTCTTATTTACTTTACAAAAACAGAGCTGGCTGGAAAGGCCTTGCCATTGATCTTTGTGTATGCAATTCCTCAGCCCACCGACCCAAGCAGGATCAGGAGAAATGGGAGGGGTTCAGGTGAGCAAGGGAGGTTTGGGGGTGCAGACCCACACATTGAACTCTAGCTGTCCAAGTCCAATGAGTGCAGGCCTCAGGAGTGCTGGAACCTACTTGCAAGAACGCAGGATGGGCTCTGGGCTATGGCTACAGTTTTAGAGCTAGACAGCCCAAATTCTTAAAATGGGAAATCTCCATTGGCAGGATGGGTTTTAAAAAAAAAAAAGGAAAGAAAAAAAATCCTATAGCTGCTAACCAGCGTGGGCCTCCAGCCAATATTTCATCTGAATAATTCAAAAAAGGAAATGTAACCCAGGGCAGCTGGAGAGGGTAGAGGAACAAGCAGGAAGGAAGAGAGACACAAAGCTGAGGTCTCAAGCACTATGATCAATGGACAGTTTATTGGACAAAGTCTTACAACATCTAAATTTGATGAAAGATTAGCTGTTCTTCCCCATGGTTATGTAAATTTGCCTTCCTTTTTATTTTTAATGGAACCCTTTGCTAATACATTTCTGGCTCCTGCTTTTTGACCAGTTATATGTTTCTCTTTGGGCTTCCCTGGTGGCTCAGAGGTTAAAGCGTCTGCCTGCAAGGCGGGAGACCTGGGTTCGATCCCTGGGTCTGGAAGATCCCCTGGAGAAGGAAATGGCAACCCACTCCAGTATTCTTGCCTGGAGAATCCCATGGACAGAGGAGCCTGGCGGGCTACAGTCCACGGGGTCGCAGATTCTCTTCAAGGAAGTAATAAGCCCCTGAAAAGGCTGCCTCTGAAAGTTAAGCTACCTTGGGTGTGATCAGTGTGTGCGTGGGCTGGTCCAATGGGGAGGGTGGGCATGGGAGCAACTAAGGCAAATCAGTTTCCATTTTAGTATAAAATTGAGTCAGGTCATCTGTGCCATCTTATAGAATCTCTCCTACCATTTTAAACAACAAGGTCACAATGGGTGGAGAGGGGAGAAAACAAAACTCCAACCAGCTGATACCTGGAAGATCCACCAAGGTGGAGACAAGATGGTGAAAGGTTTTCTGGTTACACAGAAGGCTGAATGAACTGCATCTCTCTAAGTACTGTCACCTAAACTGAGAGACAAGGCCTGTGTTTGGGAGCCCAGCAGTCAGAGAGAGAAAGAGCCTGCCGAAGTCTGCCCTTAAATTAAGAAGAGAGCATGGCCAGACATGCTCAGCTTAGCCAGCACCATAGCATTCTCTGAAGTCACCTTTCAGCCATAAAAATAGACACGAAAGAGAAAGCTAAAGTCCTAGAAAAATTATCATTTAGAAATTTAGTCTACTTTACCACTGTAAAAAAAATTTTCATTAGTTTCCTTTAGTATGGTTATTGTATCGCTACTTGCCGTGTATGACTGTGTGTGCACCCAAAATGTATACAAAACCAATGACATTCAATTTTCCAGCAATTCAAAATCTGATCCAGTTCACCTAGCAGTTATCAGTTTGGGTTTGTGTGTGGGGAGAGAGCTCTCTCTCCTTTGCCATACCTCTCTTGTTGGTTCTTAGAATTGTTTCAGAAGACAGCAAAGCATTTCCACTGGACACTTCGTGCATGGGCTTTTCTGGAGCTTTGCTGGAGAGAGGCTCTTTCTTCATTTCCTTCTTTATTTCCTGTGAGGATAGAGAAAAGGAAAACAAGATTGTAGTTTAACATTTTCAAACATCTCTATTTTAAGCTTCAGCTTTCTGGAATGAACTACAGTGACCTCAACTCAGCACAACATTTTAGAAACACCATTTCCTATGTGTTTGTTGTTTGTTTTCCTTACATTTAGTAGAGAAGCACCTGGTCCTATAAAGCAGAATAATGTCCAATACAGTGATGCAACCTTCTGTGACTATGGTGAAGTGATGATAAAGGCCACCATACAACTCTAAGTGACAGCCTGTTCTACTTTTTGAACAATGACAAGCTTTGGCCAAGCACAGTTACCCCTCAAAAGCTTTCTGGTTTCTATACTTCCCAACAGGGGTTTAAAGAAGTATATTCCCAAATCACCATTGTGCTCACAGTTACACTAAACCCAAAAGAAGACTTAAGTTTTTACAGTTACCAAGTTCCTCTGGCTTTTTAATCCTTAACCGAGAAAAATACAAGTAACAAACTAAAATAAAGACTATTGTTCTAAGCCAGAGGTCGGCAAACTAAGCCCACCATGTGTTTTTGTAAATAAAGTTTCATTATAATACAAGCCCATTCATTTCATTTAGGTATTTTCTATGGCTGCTCTGATGCCACAACAGCAGAGTTGAGGAGTTGGAACAGAAATTCAAGCCCCAAATACCTGACCCTTTACATACAAAGTTTACACGAGGTAGTCTCTTATCAAAGCTCCATTAAGATCTGGATTTTTAAAACCTGATGCCTGATACAATCATTTCAAATTACTTTAATAATTTACATAATTATGTTCAAAAGCATTAAGAGTCAGAAATGATAGTAACTCACAAGCTGCAGATCTGGGCTGGGGTTCTGGGCTTGTCTGGACCCAGGATCACATTGACTTGGGAAGAAGGGAAAGCTAAGCACCTGGAGTCAAAGCATACCTGGGTGTCAGGAAGGGCTCAAAGAGGAAAGATGTGTTCTTTAGAAAGAGGCTGGGGCAAGAATTGGGCATGGGTCCTTCAATGAATGAACAGGAAGATGGAAAGTTTGGTGGGAGGCCATACTTTGGCCTGGGCAGAGGTGGAAAGAACAGAACAAAAGCTTGTCAAAACATAGCCACTGCCTAGCAGCTTCCTACACACCCAAGTATTAGTTACCGTATCCAATTCCCCGATTGCTGGCCCTGTTCACAACAGCCTCGCCCTCTCTCCCTCACCAGGGCCCCACCGGAAACCAGCAACTGCGGCTGGTGCTCTGCTAGGGTGAGAGTTTCAGCTGGCGCACCAGGCCAACACAGCATAAAGCTGTGTGCATGTGCGTGTCTGTATACGCACTCCCACCTCAGCAGCCTGGCACCTGCTAGAACAGCAGTTGCTGGGGGTTTGTGCAGCTTCACGGGCAGATGGCATCAGGGGACAATCTGCAAACACTGCCAGCCTGAGTTGCATGAAAGGATGCTTTCTTAGTGATGGCTGCCAGCCTGCTATGGCTCTAGAAATACAGAAAAGCAGCCACCGTGGGGTCTTCTTCCCCAATGGCTGCTTCTTTGCGGGTAGAAGAGTTGCTTAAACATCACTCTCCACCGTAGGGTGGGTATGACCATGCAAACACCAATTTCCCAACTGGACACAACATAATGCAGTGATGCAACATCCAGTTTTGCCAAGGAGAGATTCAGAGAAATTCAGTGGGCTGTGGGTGACATGCTGAGTACTTGCTTAGCACTAACCACTAATGGCATGCAGCTGGGGAGGATGAAGGGGTTGCAAACATGAAAAATTGGGGTGGTCACTGGGGAAAGCCTCAGAAGCCATGGTTGTCAAGAATGTTCACACCCAAGGCTTCAGAGCAGCACCTTATGAGCGTTGAAGGACTGATCTAATGAAGCAGGTGCTTAAGGGCTGAGAAACCAGCAACAGGAGAGGAGCTGGTTCATAAGTTTCAGATTCTGTGCCCCACACCAATAATTGTTCACATTTGCCAGACACATAAGCCTAATGATGACACAATTCCTTAAGTTGCTTCTTAGATGGAAGCAAGGAGACAAAACCTAAAATATGCCTTGCCCTTTTCCAAAAAAACCAACCAGACACGCAGCCAGAGCAGTTCATCCTGCAGACTCTCCATTGGCCCAACAACCAGGTTCACCCAAGCTCAGTGTAACCTCACCAAAACCAAACATCTTCTCTCCGATCTGCCCCTTCTCTGGGAGCGACGGGAGCTATCCTGTTTGATAGCTCATCATCTGCCCACTTACTCTGGCTGGAAGACTCAGCATTAACCCTCATATCTAACCAGCCACTCAGCTGGGCTCTATCTACTTCCTTAATCTACTTCTCTCCTTCCTCCCATACTGCCTTAAAAACATGAGAAGAAAAAAAACACAAAGAACTTGAACAGACATTTCTCCAAAGAAAATATACAAATGGCCAATAAGAACATGACAAGATGCTCCACATCATTATTCACTAGGAAAACTTAAATCAACACCAAAATGATATACCCTTTCATTCCCACCAAGATGGCTAGATTTTTTTTTTAAAGGAATACAAGTGCTGATAAGGACGTGGAAAAATTGGAATCCTTGTACACTGCTGGTGAGAATGCAAAATGGAACAGTCAATGTGGAAAACAGTATGGTGGTTTCTCAAAATGATAAACACAGAATTACCATATGATCCAGCAATTCCACTTTCAGGTAATATACCCCAAAGAGTTGAAAGCAGGGACCTAAACAGATAACTTGTATGCCAACATTTAGTGCAGCATTATTCACAAAAGCCGAAAAGTCGAAACAACACAAGAGTCCATCAAAAGGCAAACAAATAAACAAGATGTGGCATGTACATACAACAGAATATTGTTCGGCCTTGAAAAGCAATACAATTTTGATGCATGTTACAACATGAATGAACCTAGAAAACATCATGCTAAGTGAAATAAGCCAGACACAAAAGGACAAAAAATGATCTGATTCCATGTATATGGGACATCTAGAATAGGCAAACTCAGAGACAGAAGCTGACTAGAGGTTACCAGGGAGTAATGGGATGGGAGGATGAGAGTTAAAGTTTCACAGTTACGGAGTTTCTGTTTGGGGTGATGAAAAGTTTCGGAAACAGACAGTGGTAATGGTTGCATAAAATTGTGAATTCAATGAATGCCACTGAATTGTATTTTTAAATGGCTAAAATGGCAACTTTTGTGTTATATATATAAATATTTTTTTTTACCACAATAAAAAATACACATGAATACCATCTTACATTTGAGAGTTTACCTTGTGCTAAAGCTTCCTCTAAGAGCTGCACCTGGACCACAACTTTTAACATGCAGAACAGCCCTATTTACTGATGCACATGCCAAGTCACAGAGAGCTGAGGAAACCTGTCCAAGGTCAAACAAGGAGACGCCAGGATTGGAACTCAATGGTCTAGCTTCAGAGCTCAACTCTGAACCACTCTTCCCCCAAATGCTGCCTGTCTCCAGTCCCGTGTCTGGAGTCCCAAGACTCCAGAACAGTGTCTCCTATTCCACCTCCACAGTGCCTCAAGGGATGGTTTCCGAAAACTGCTATCCACTCTTGTCACTCTCCTCCTCAAAGCCTCCAATTACTTTCAAAAGACCACAGGGAAAGCTCTTACCTTCAAAAACGTTTCAAATTGCACAGCAAGTCACACGTCCCTGTGTACTCACTTTTGGCTCAACCTATCTGACGTATGTACTGACCCCAGGTACCAACTACCGTGCACATGCAAGGTGAGTGGTGCACCTTTTGAACACCCTGACATTCACAGACATCTGATGTCATGGGCCCCTATCGGGGGGCTCCAAAAATAGGTGACAATGCTAACAATGACACAGCCTTACATTGGCCAGGGTTTATATAAATTAAAGTGCTGTAACAGATTTTTTTTCACTTGCTCCTCACAATAACACTGCCATTTTGTTACTGAAAAAGAAAAAACCTGATTTTTCTAGACTGATATATTTTTGCACACAAGAATCATGAAACCCAGTCAGGGAGGATGCAAGACCATCAAAAGGCTATGAGACTAGTATGGGGCAGGGAGGGCCGTGGAACCCAGCTCCGGGCCTTCCAGGCAGACCTCTCCTGCTACAGCTCACTTCCCCCAAAGAACCAGTGTCCTGGCTATAGTGCATGCATACTAAGTTGCATCAGTTGTGTCTGGCTCTGTGAGATCCTAGAGACTGTAGTCAGCCAGGCTCCTCTGTTCGTGGGATTTCCCAAGCAAGAATACTGGAGTGGGTTACCATGCACTCCTCCAGGGGATCTTTCTGACCCAGGGATTGAACTGGTATCTCTTATGTCTCCTGCATTGGCAGGTGGATTCTTTACCATGAGTGCCACCTGGGAAGCTCCCTGACTATAGTGGGGAGACTCAAATCACCCCAGCCATAGCTCCAGTGGAAAACTTCACTTTCCTCCACAACTAAAGAATCTAATACTGCTTTATCCCTAAGCCCACAAATACTAGGGCTGAAATCCTTGAAGACTCTTTATCATCCACACAAAATAGCTCTTTGCTGCAGAAGAGGGTGGATTTGACAGTGGAATAACCCCTGCTTGTCTACAGCTGCCAGGATCCCTGTACCTGGAGCTCTCCGAGGTTCTGATCCAAGTCGGAGGATGCCAGATTTCCTGGGTATGAGCATTCCGAGCCCCAACCCTCAGTCTCAGCTTTCTAATGACGAGGCCTAAGTTATTAATCATTTATTGAGAACCTGGATCCTACTCTCTCAGTGGTATAGAACACACCCTGGGTCAAAACTGTGGGACACGGGGGCTTACAGAAATTCATACATGCCCACAGATATAAATCAGCAATGATTCTGCTTGCTTTAAAACAGAACAGAATAGTCAGGGTATCCACTATCCTAGACCTTTTTAGGAGGTAAGGGAAACCCGGCTTCTCTCTTCTCAAATCTGAAGCCTTAACAACAGAAACTCTGCTTGGACGGCAAAATTGAGGCCATCCATAAA